AATAATTAACAATACTTGTGTAACATTCGCCATGAGGTACCACTCTTAAAAGGGTAGTTTTCAGGGTTAGGCTTTTCAGTAATCTTACAATTTGTGTATCTTTCACCAGAGAGGCTCAGCAATGTGAGTACAGCTACATGTATTGGATGATAATGAAACAGTGAGTGGGACTGATTATTATGATGAGATTGTTGCCACACTTTATAAAAGTTAGACTGCAGTAAAATTACTGTAACATTAGCGAATGGTTCTATTACTATTTTGTTGTCCTGTGCAGTTTTTTTGCATTATTGTATATTAGGTGGGTCACATTTGTTACAGCTGCAATAAAGTGGAGAAGCTGTGTACCTAAGTATCGGTAAAGCATCAAATCTAAATTAAACGTTACGAAGCAAACAGTGGTGGATCCGTGCTAAACTGGCTGGCTGATCCTGCCTTGCGTCAAGGCTAGTATAAACATATCGCTCCACATTTGCTTTGTAGTGTTACATCATTTCTTGCAGGCTGAATCAACATTTTGTCATGATACTATACTGGTGGTACACAGGATAGTAATTTGTGTTAGTTGGCGAAGTAGTGTGGAAAGACACAGGATAACATCAGCAACTGCTCAGCGTTAGCCGGCGAGCTAAAATGACTCTCTATGTGAGTCCAGCCTTTCTGATGTGACTGTTTTCACCATCCTCTAAATCTCGTTTGGCTTTATAGGCTTCTTCACATAAACATTTATTGTTGTTATGATCATTACGTGGAGTCTGTGTTGTGCTAGGAGCCAGTTGCGTTGCTAATAGGTTAAAGGGATATGGAGTTCTAGAAGAAGTTGGCAATATATTCACTCTTATGTAACATTGAAGAAACTAGCATGTATATCCATCCATCCATCCATAATCAACCGCTTATCCTGCGTACAGGGTCACGGCCTCAGAAAGGCCTTGTTTCTTTCTAGGAGGTTTTATTTAAAAATCCTGCATACTCCAGTCCAGAGTCCTATGGGGCTTTGATTTTGGAAATCCAGCTTACTCCATGGCCTTCCCACCAGTTCTGTATGGGGGCATTATTTTTTAAATTTGGCACACTTCAAAGACCAAATTTGTATTTGTGGTTTCAAAAATGTGGGGAATAAAGCCTGTTAGAAAGTTCCCTTTTTCTGCTTCCCACCTGAAAATTCTGGTCTCAGTTACCAATGGAGTCAGTGGATGGTATTCCTGTCACTCTGAGGCTCACAGTGCATAGTTAGATTGTTTGACACATTTTTCTCCATATATATTTTAGAAAGTATGAAATTTATAAATACTTAAAGTAATACTGATATTGTCCTCAATGAGCTTAAGATTTTGAAGTCCAAATTAAGTTTCTATGTTGCTGTTGCCCAGCAATCTTGCCCCATACAAACCCTATACAGAGCCTCAGTCTCATTTAGCACCTGTGACAGCTGGAGTGTAGCATGGAGGGGAGGTTTCAGTCTGTGAAGGTGGCCTGAGGTACGTGTCCAGCATGGAAAAAGGACACTGTCTAATTGCTTAGCTGCAAATAGCCTGGGGAGAGTGGGGATGTGGGTTGCCCCCTTCCTGTTAAATCACCACCCTGACCTTTGCCCTCACTGTGGCCACTCTGAGTGATACTACTGCACATGGATACACACCCAGCACTAATACGTACGAACACATACATGGACATACTGTGCACTGAGAGACACACATACAATATATCATTGACATCACTGTGGTAATAATAGAGATGACCCCAATCATCAGGAGGAGAAAAAAGGGAAACTGAGCCCCGTTCCCTTGCCGGGCCTATATTTTATTGACGGCCTCCATTGTGCCCTGCTGATGACATGGCATTGGAGGATGATCACCTATAATAGAGTCCAGCGGAGTTGCAGATTAAAAGTACAAATCACATTGTAAACGACTGAGCCGAGGTGCACTGTGTAACCTCCATCTTGGTCTGTGGGGTTTAAACCACAGTGCTCCCTGTGGTTCCAATCTCTCAGCTTGACTCAAAAAAGATAAGAGATAACAGAGCACAATGTTGGGATAAAAGCTAAAAAGAACTCTGTGTGTGTGTGTGTGTGTGTGTGTGAAGCTATAGTACACCACTGAGAGAGGGCATTAAACCAGGTGTCCTGCCACTAAGCACTAATATGCGTCTAGACCTTCTTGTAGTTTCTCCTTTCGTTTCTCCTCCAGCGCCATATGGAAGCACATTGAGGAGCAACTCTGATGACATTAATTACCCCACACGCGGGTCGTCTCCTATGTTAAGAAGATAAGTGCTGCTCTCTCTTTCGCTCACGCCACACGCAATGCTCCCGCCAGTAAATATGTCACATCTGCAGATGAGCGTCACTTAGTGATCCATGAAGCTCATCAGACAGTGAGTCCCCCCAGAGAGAGGAGGATCTTGAAATAATGAAACATGAACATGATGTTCTTGGACTGAGTATAATCTCAGTATTCATCCACCGCCGCTCCCGACTACTCCCCAGCGCACAGAGGGTAAGGTCATCCATCAAAAGTCACATATTAGTCATCGGAATGGGAGCGGCGTGGGGTCGAAACACTGACCCAATACGATGCTGATATGCACCGGGCGTAGAGGTCGGCCCTTAACAGATGACTCCTTATCGACCAAAAGGAAGATGGGAGAAGTGGGGAAGGCTGTTGGACGGTGTACCAGAGGTTTCCTCCTCCCCAGACTGGGAGATGAAGAAGACTGACAAATGAGTGCATAGCAGCTGGGTAAGCCTCATGAGAAATCTGGGCTGTCTGCAAGCGTAGCAGACAGAGTGGGATGACTGGCTCAGGTTTGGACTCAACTCCCTCTCTGCAGAAATTCTCTCCAGCCACAACATGCAGGTTGTTCAAGGCAACATAGGGTTGAGGACCGTGAGTGTTTGCACGGTGACACATTGCATGTTTTGCCTCCTTTTCTAATTTCTTTTCATTTGACATGGCACAATGACTGTGCATTTAAAGTTCAGACTGTCAGCTTTAATTTAGGCGTACACTCAGTTGGACTGGTTGTGTTGTTAAAATAAATACCATCATCTATTGACTTACTTACCCTCCCACATGTTTGATATTAATAATATATTAATATTATGATCATTTAAAGGATGCTGAAACACATTTTTGTTAGTCTTCTGGAAGTTTCTTTGCAAAGTTGAATCCAGATTCTACCCTTAAAATATGTGTATGCATCTAAATACTACTGCAACTGAAAACAAGAGGGACCAGATCCAAAACTGGCTGTAGCTCCTCAGTCATTCATCCGATGTGCCTGTAAAAGCTTACATTCACATCATAATCTCTGTCATTTTACATCCAAAGCACTAAGAGTGGCGAGCCAAAATGTTAATGTACTGCTGTGCCAATGGAGCCCACTCTTCATGCATATGCATATTGCTCTATCCTACCCAGAATTCCCACCGCAACCCTCTCCCAACCTGACCGAGGTTTCTAAAAACGGCAGGAAGCTTAACGCCTGTGACAGCAGACGTCACGCTGGAGGAGAGCGACTTTGATGAGACCCATGCTTTTAGAGGCCTCTTTTGTTAGCAGAGAGCGAATCACACTTTACATGATAAAATTTCCCGCTAGAAGACGGCTTAGACTGTGTACAACCAGATACGGTTGCCAAGGAAACCCTCCTGGAGAACCCATGAGCTTTTTTTTTTTTTTGCCATCCCAGCCTCCTTGATCTGTGCAAACAATTAATACCTTACCCAGGCTGAAGGGAGGGAGCTGGTAGGGTGGGAGGCAGGCATAAATCCCCAGGTGCTTAGTACAACACCACTCTCTCCCTTCAGATATGTGAATGATGCAAAAAAAAATGTCACAAATGGATATTGGGCTGGAAGACACTGAGGGATGATGTATGACTCATTGTGCATTACTTCAATGAGAGAACAGCATTTAGTCCATACATCTAATCTGCACACGTGCAGCAGCACACATCCCTAATGTCATTTTAATGAATGTTTTGAATGCACTGCCATAATAGTGCCATTATATCCTGCCCCATCCATTTGTAGAATGGCCATGTTTGGGCAGGTATCACTGCAGCTGAATAAACCAGACACATAAGAGAACCCCTGATGCGCAGAGCTGCTGGGGAGCAGTTAGGATCCATGAGTGACTTCGACTAGCCACAGATCAATGCTCTGGAGCCCTATCTATTACTGACATCCAATTATAGCAATGGACGTCCGTTTAGCACTACTACTAAGTGCTTTAGTCTTTTTATTGACTACCTGTCACCAGCCTGCACACAGTGGAGCTACTGACTAATAATCAGTTATCGATCTATCCACATGTCAAGATCACCAGCATGTTAAGTGTATAAATAGTGGGAGGGGGGGGGGGGGTCAACAGCAGTCAGAATAGAAAGATGTAACGCGGACATGTGCATGATTTGTCCTCCAGTCATTAACCAGGCATTTCACACCATTCAGCATACTTAATTAGAGAGCTAATTTTGTACAACTTTGATTAGTGCTGGCTTGCAACATTAACCAAGGGGGGAAATTGGCTGTAATTGAAAAAAAGCTAAGCAAAAAAACCCTAAAACTAATGTTGAAACAAATGGCCACGTTGTTGTGGACAATACAGTGCAGCAGGGGAATGAGAACGAGTCAATAAGAGGGCCTACAGGATGAGCGGATAACTCAGCAGTGCCGGTAGGAGAGTCAGGTCAAAAACCTTTGCATGTTTACACTGGAGCTGAATGGCGAGCATTGCGGACAGCAGGCGGTGATTGTGCCTGCCCGCTTCATTGATTAATTACAGTCATTAAGTGGTTAGAAAGTCACCTCACCTGGTGTAAAGGGTGGAATTCACTGGCTGATTAAAATTAATCACAGTCAAAAAGCTGCAGGAAGCAGAGTCCCCGGAGAGCATGCGCCACTGGTAAGGAGAGAAATTGAGTTTTACTCATGCTCAAGTCAACAGCTGCCACTGCTTCTGTAAACAAACAAATAAACAAACATAGCTGGCTATTTTTCTTTAGTCCGTGGACTTTTATTATTCAAAAATACAGCACAAAAATACACACAAAAAGAAAAATTGGTTTTCACACAGTGTGCAAACCTCAAAGGAGATCTTCATACAGTATTAGTACGCTGATTTCAAAGCTACAGTTAATATTGTTAATAGCAGTCGTAGTTAATGAACTGAGCACATAGAGGGACAGTAACAGGACTACCTCCTTAAGAGCCCTGTACAGTTTGTCAGCAGGTGAAATCCAGCTAGAATTCTACAGGGGCCAATCTTGGCAGCAAACTTCCTTCATGTACAATACACACACACACACACACACACACACCTAAGAGGAACTGACAGATCTAATTTCTTTGTCCAAAGCGGACCCAGATCTCACTTTCCTTGGTGTTAGAAAATAGGTGTGACATCAAATCTGAGAGGAAGTCAAGGCAAGATGTTACAACTGTCACCTCCCTTTAGGTCCTACAATTCACACACAGCAACGTACACACACTCACACAATGCCAGAAATGTCCTTAATCATTCTAGGGAGCATTTACTGTACTGACAAGACCCACACCGCCCCTCCTCTTCTGTTTTAGATTTAGATTTGCCAAGCACAGCATAGCATCACATATACATAAAAACAAAATCATTTTTATATCATCCCGACTCTGTTGTGATTAGATAGGGTTACTTCAACAGGATATTTATACATACAGCCAGAACCATTTATGTTATTTAAAAAAAAAAAAATCACATCAGTTTACCTAATTTTAAATAAATGTAAAAAAAAAACAAAAAAAAACAAAACATGATGTAATGTTTTGGAATGCTAAATCAAAGCTTTAAGACAGTGATTAATGTGTAGATAAGCTATGGGGGAATTTGTATGAGGTGAGTGGGTGTGGGAAATTCTAGACCTGACCTGATCGAAGCAACAGAAATCTATAACTGTACTGATGATTGTATTGTTCTAGTGGCTGTGGGCTATGACGGCCCTTCAGGATGATGCTACTGCACATAGCACGGCACACCAGCGGACGTGCTATGACATTACTGAACTGGGACAACAAGGCACAATAGAAGTTATTAAAATCCAGCTGTGAGGGCTGAACAGAGGTGAACTCAGGGGAGGTGCGTTAAGGCTAAAATAAGGAATAAGGCATCACAGCAAAAAGAAACAGTTTGCCCACTCCAAGTTTTCATACTGGGTTGTTTTAAATTAGATCACATGTTGGGCTTTGAAATTATTTTGGAAGAAGGGGCATGGTTTAAGAGTAGAATAATCCGCTAACTGTAAGGGCTGGCCTATGGCAACTTGCACTGACTAAACAATTCAGCATACTAAGGCGTTTCACATTTGTTCCTCTTTGTGGGCACTTTGGTCATGTATACAAGCTTCACATCCTTCATTAAAAGAGTCCAATTAAAGCTACAGAAGCCATGAAAGGTTTCATACTGACCACAGAGAGAAGGTTAATCAAGATATTGACTCCTTGTAATGCAACTGCAAATAAGGAGGATTACATATGCCAGACATCTGTGGGGGTGACTACAAGTGATGATTAACACTCTGCGCTCTTGTCCTGCGAATATGGTGTGTGTGTGTGTGTGTGTTTGGGGAGGCCAACACATTCTGGTGGTCACAGGGGTTACGGGTCTGTTGACAGTCAAACACAATCAAAGCTGATTGCTCAGTGAACCTTGCTGTCCAGCTGCCCCCCTTATCCCCTATCCACTACCTCCTCCTAAGATCTCTGAAGGAGGGATGGGGGTCTTTTATTGTTTTTTTTTAAGCTTGGTCAAGAAGCACTAATCCACCCAATCACAAGATGAGGTGGCCTGAACCTCCCCCTCACCACCAACCAATCCTGACCACTTCAGCCCCCCATCCAAGCCCAGACTGGACAATTCAAACAACAACAGTTCAACAGAAAACGTCTGGCCTAGATTTTTCAACTCTGTCGAAGGATTAATTCAAATCTGTGAATTTTCTTCTAATAAGTCGATCTTTGCATTTTTCCAATGGGTCAGAACATCTAATTTGTCAGAAACTGTTTGACCGGATTGCCTGAAAAATGATCATATCGCTATGTAGGCATTGAAAGACAATGAAGTATACATTTCCCAAACTCCCATTCACATACATACATACACTTATATATAGTCACACACACATACAGCTGCAATTCTATACATACATGCATGCATACAGCTGCACTGCTAGCCAATTAGGGGCCTGGATCTCTTTTGAACATACAGTATCTCTACAGCAAGGGCAATCTATATATATATAAAAAAAAAAACATGCAATCACTTATATACAATATAATTTGTGTATTGACCGTTCTGCTTTGTATTCACACCAATTCATTTTTCAGTGAGAAAGTCCAAGAAGTAAAATTCATAAAAGGTTATTTTGTATTTTAAAAAAGTTCATGTGCTCTGTTGTGATTCCAGTATAACTCTCTTCTCAGCACCACAGCAGAGCCAGGCCTTCATAAGAGGAGTTTACTCCCGTTTGTAAATAATGAAGAGCTAAAAGTCAGCCCATCCCAGCTTTTGCTCCCTCTTCATTGGCTTTTGTCCTATTCTCTTCCTCCAAACCCTCCCCTTTGCCCCCTTCTCGAGAAGAGGACAGGCTAGACGATTGAGCCGTCCCTGTTCTGGGCAGGGATCATGACAGGGATGGCCCCCATGCGGCTGAGGTTGCGGCCGGGCATCTTGGCAGCAGTGGGCGGGGGCAGAGGTACTTGACTCGGAGGCCTCTCGTACTCCTCAGATGAGGGGATCTTGTCGTACTGGGTCTTGTTGGCGAAATCATTAAGGTGGGAAGGCGACATGGAGCCCAGCGAGGAGCGCTGGCTGCCCACGGTGAAGCTGCGCGCCGTTGAAACACGACTCTTGGGAGGGGGCACATCCTCTCTGAAGGAAACAGAGACAACAGTGTAATTAGACAAGATTGAAAACTCTCTTTCATTCACCTACATGATTGTCAAGTTAGAAATTGAATAAAGAAAATGATTTTCTTAGGGTGCTATAAACTACAGAGCCCTGTAAGGTTCATGATAGGGATGCACCGAATGTTCAGCCACCAGTATGGGAATAAGATAAATTGGATTATATTCACAAAAAGTATAAAACATATTACATGTGTCCATGTGTACAAGTAAATGGACACATGCAATTACTTTACTGGACCCTCTCAGGTCTCGGACTCACCCACCATAGTCTCTCCAAATCCTGTGGGAAACACTGAGTAAAAAGCCCATTTTGACTATTCAATTTATGCAATGGGAAAAAAAGTAAAATCAATGGGAAAAACCTTGTTTCGGTATTCGGTAAAGTTTTTCATTATATTCGGTTTCGGCCAAGAATTTTCATTTTGGTGCATCCCTAGTTCAAGACAATCATCTTTTGGAGAACTACTTTTGCTTCTCTTGCAATAAATTTTGTGTTACCCCGTATTACTTTTTTTCTTCCAATCCTTCTGAGGAACGTAACTACACGGACACTAACGGATGTTTCCAAATGTTCAGTGTGGCTTACAAGTAAGAAAACAGGACGTCAATAAGAGGATTCAGCAGGCAGATGGACTCTCATGATAAACTCAAACTGCAAGTCTAGTATTGCGAGGTAACAAAAGCAGTTCTCCAAAATATTCTTGCCATAAACCCTAGGGGGCTCCATAATAAACCATACACAGGTATAAGAGTCTGGAATGTCGGGCCCTTGCTGCCCACAGTGAGGAAAACAATGCATGTTTAAAGAGTCTGCATGAGTCACTTCAAGAGCGAAACATGATTTGACTCAGTAAGAGGGACAAATAATTGGAGTTGGCCTGTTTGATTGGTTGGGGCAGTGTCTGCACTGCTCAGCCGCGCTGACTGTGTAATAGCCTGCAGAGACTGAGCTGAGCAACCAAATGCCCTCTACTCCCTCTGCCACCACATTAACAACTAATAAGCAGCAATAATCCAGTTAAATGCTCAATCAAACTGAGCCTGAGGGGCCAGAGCTTGTTTAGTCCATAGTTCATGCTGTGGTGTTTCAGCGAATGCGTGCGTCTGTGTATACGAGACAGGACCAGTGGTCTAATCCTCTTTGTCCTACAGCGTGAGCACTGTCACATTGTGGTCTTAGACAGATTCAGTCCGCAGCAGAGTGATAGTAAGCCCAGGGGTTGTCCAGAGCCCGTGGGCCGGATGGAGAGCTGGATGGTGAGGGGGGCTTAGGGGTAGGTGGCTCTGGAGGGGGGGGGGGGGGGGCAGCCAGCAGCAGAGCAGACATGACACTGAATCCACAGAGCAAACAAAGCTTTCAAACTGATTACCACAGCTGGTTATTTGAGGAAGGGCAAAAAAAGAAAAACGCTGATGGAGAAAAACCATTTTCATGGTTGTTGGGGCTGTTGGACAGGTCACACTACAGGGGGAGCTGTGAGTAATAACCACATGTACCCTATGGTATGTTTACGCTTACATTCAATCCAGTATTATATGACCTGAGACACATTTCTCATTATACAGCAAAGACTACACAACATTACAAAATATTCTTCCATCAAAAGGGAGATTTGGGTATCTCTGAGCCAAGTCTCATTGATGTTTCAGTGAGCGTACCTTATCTCGTTGCAGATTTCTTTCTCGTACTTCTTCCTGTGACGGGCACGGCAACAGCAGAAGAGGATGATTGCTATAATGATGAGGATCAGTAGCACAGCAATTATGGCTCCTGCGACTATGCCTGCAGTGTTGGGGGCTGGACAACAAAGTGAAGAAAAGGATTGGGAAATGTAATTTGGGTAGCAATGACTTAAACATAACTAAGGGTATGTGTCCAACAAAGACTTTAAAAGATAGTGCTGGATTATTTTACAAGTCAAAGCGGTGCTTCGACCGGGATTTTGGGTGAGTGACCGTTTCTCAGCTTTTCTCGGCTTATCACATTGAAAAAGTTAAATTGCAAGTGCAATTACCAATGTCACTGAGATTTTCCCCACAACTAAAGCGCACATTCTAGTTTCTGTGTCTGCATGACGTAAATATCTTCATCTGCCGACTGCAATGTGTATGCAGGCACCAAATCATAAACTGAACCGCGGCGTGTTTTGGAGTATATCTGGCCCTCAAGAATGAATTTGAAACAGAAGCAGGACCAAAGAACAGTGCTAAAGAGTCAACAGATAGAAGCCCTCTGCTCCAGCACTTGATTTCGACAGCGCTGTCATTGTGTGGTGCCACAGCTTCTGCTACTCAAGAAGCTGACACTGCCAAAATCCTCGCCACTTGTGAATCAAATGGATCCCATCTTTCTAAATGCAACGGAAACTTCAGTAGGACTTTTACTTCAGTGGCTGTCGCATTTAGAAGATAACAATGTTATAACACTACCACTTGGCTTGCTCAAGTCCAATTTATATGTTGTTGCTGTAATAAACAGGCAGATTTCTATTTTTTGTTAAGTTTTTATCCAATTTACAACTTCGGTACATTTATTAAAAAGGTACCACATATGCAATTTTGTATTTTTAGCCACCCTAGTTGCATGGCCTCATGGATGGCAAGAACAACCATTAATTGATTATGAAAATAAGTTGCAGACCTAATCTCTAAAAGAAGTATTGCATGGATCACCATTAATTAATGTCCCTCTCACGATGAAATGTAATAACTTTTGTGATCCTTTCATCAGGTCAAGTATCATATAAGGTAAGGTTAGATTGACTTTATTGTCCATCTCAGTGGAAATTTGTCTTTGGCTCTCCCAGGTTACATCAGAGGGACATACACTGCACGTAACATATCACACCGTAACACACAGAATGTACAATTATTCAATTTTTCCAATACTTATGTTCATAACTAAATACCTACAGACTAATGAGTTCCAGCTGTAGTTCATGTTAGCATGTTGACGTAGTATTTAGCTTACTGGAAGGAGTACCGCTGTGCCTAAGTAGAGCTTTACAAAGCTGCCAGCAAGGCTGTCTTGTTTTCAATACCTTACTTCACTGCTGTGATATATAACTGTACTCTTGAAGGTACAAAGGGTGGTGGTATACTGACTTGAAAGAAAGAAGATAGGGCTCCATATTGTACCTGTACCATGAATACAGGTTAAAACATCAACATGAAGTTAGTTGGGTACTCACGAGGTGTCACATTGAGATACAGTATACAATCATCTTTGCCAATCCGGTTGGAGGCAGTGCAGCGGTAGGTGCCAGATGCGCTAGCAGATGCGTTCCTCACGTTAATGGTGCCTCCCACGGGATCTGTTGTGAGGGTAAAGGACACATCAATGAAGAGATGACCGTGCTAAACACAAAGCGGACCTGTGTGTAGGACTTGAACACAGTTTTGTATTTGTTCCGTTGGGCTTATGACAGGGTCCATTACCCAACACAGCGGTGGCGGGCAGCAGCTTGGTGTCAGTGGTCTTTTCCCAGCTGTACTGTAGGGGGTTGGTGCCCTCGCTAGATATGCACCTCAGCACAATGTTTTTGCCTTCCTGTGTGGGGCCTTCGGCATAGCACCTGGGCTTTGATGGCTTCACTGCGGAGAGAAAAAAGGAATGAAGGAAAGTGATTGAGGGAGGTGAAAAATAGCAGACACAACCAGGTGGCCCGATTAGCTCAGAACAACACAGTCCACCCTGCATACAACCCTGTTATTTTTCAATCTTTCATGTTGTGAGCAAGTTGTTTGTCTGTATTGTGTATTTGTAAAGTTGATTTCCTCCCTTTCTCAAAGCAGCAGTCATCAGCGTAATGAGAGCAGTAATTACAGTAATTGATCCAGCTGCTGTTATTACAGGAGCTGTCACTCAGGATAATCACAAGCAAGAAGGGAACCGTGTGGCATTGGACACACAAACACACGCACACGTAGCGTTCGGGTTTAAGGATGGAGGCGAAGCGGTCTTACAGCCGAACGTGTGCAAACACTGCACCGGCCAGTCAAGAGTGTTGGCAGGAGATGAGATGGGGGGATTCAAAAACAAACAGAGCTCCAAATTAAAAGCAGACCAGCTCCAGTGAAACACAGACACACAGTCTGCCAGGCGAGGAGGAGAGAGAGAGAGAGAGAGAGAGCGAGAGAGACTATGAGGGGTAACGGTTGCATAGAATAAATCTGAGGCCGCAATCCAAGTATGATAGAAAGCATCATGGCATGCTAATAATGGGTTCTGTAACAACAAAAACCCTGGAGTGGGGCTCTCCAGATCTGAACCAGGTGTCAGGCAGGAGGGGGGAGGGGTGTTTAGCAGGCATAACCGTTAAGGATTAACAGTAGACTGACAGTACTGAGTGCTCCTACTAATCTAATAAACACACACGAGGTCAGGGCGGAGGCGGCACAACAGAGAGGGGCAGAGCAAAAATTAAGCGAGCGCTGATGGACAGATGGGGGAGTGATGAGGGCCATGGCTGTACAGCTCCTAACTCACTGCTCTGCTCTTTGCTGCTGTTGTGTTGCACCCACACACACACCCACACCCTAAATGTTAAAGTGCTATGACATTTTGAATGCTTCTTATAAAGGTGAAAGTCAACTGAGTCTGAGCGCTGTAACACACAGCTCCTCATATTAGCACCACCGTCCGATGAGCAGATTTATTTGTTTGAACGATGAGGTCAAAGAAGAAGGTGACAGAGGCTGGAGGAGCACAGAGATAAAGGGCAAAGAGATACAGCCAGCCTGGCTCTGTTTAACGAATAATGAATTGAGATTTATGAGTTGCACAAGGCTATCTTGTGGACAAGATAAGTAGAAAGGGATTGCTAGATTGGGGTGTTCATAGCGGTCAGGAGGAGGCGTGCAAATTCAAAGACTGACAGCTGATTGTTGAATGGTAACGTGAAATACAAGCACCTAGTGGGCACTAAAGCCAGGCAGACAGAATTAATGAGAATGGCTGGTGAGCTTTGCAGTGAGATCCTGGATGCCATGGGGACTGTCTGGACCTTAGGCAGGCAGAGCTAAATGATTGGCTGTAGAGAGCAGAAAGAGTTGTGAGAGTTGCTGACGTGCAGTGCTGAACTGCAGGTGGGTACTCTCCTCTTATTAACTTCAATGTCCTGTTGCAACCAGAGGAGAATACACAACATGTGACCCCTGTACAGTACCTGGACAACATGTACACTGCAGGTGTCAGCATGTGTGTGTATACCTGCATATGGCAGCGTTTGTGACAAGACACAGAAAAACCCAGAGTATACATTAAGGAGTGTTTATGTTTGTGCAGACATATGCATACGCATCTCCGCCCGTTCATGGGACCATCCACGTTGTGACAAGATCAACCTGAAGGTAAAATGCAGAGCAGGCAAGATGTCCTCACCTCTCCTTGTCAATGTTTCTGTGCTAAGATCGCCCCTGCCCCTGGGGTCAATGGCTAGCAGCCTGACAGCCTCTGTAGCCTCGAGCTATCTGTCTCTCTCACGCACGCACACACACACACACACACACACACACACACACACACACACACACGCTATAGCTAAAGACATCTGCATTTTATCTACAGTGAAAGTTGGATTTCCATTTTAGTCACCTAGCTGATGCTCATACACAGCAGGACACACTCGACAAATGAAATCAAATTATCAAACGACAATCAAGCAAAATAAGAACATCTTGACGGTACATCCTACAAAACAGTAACAGTAACACCGGAATGACACAATATGAGAAATATTTTCTGAGGAGAGAGACACATGGGTTTTTAATACTTTAACACGGGCACCTGACAAGCATGAATGAGTAAAATGTGATCCAAAAGTATCAGCACTGGATATCATACTGTATATAACTGTACTACTACTCAACGACAACAACAAACATTACAACCTCAGCTAATATGCGGTTTCTATATTCAACAGGATGGGTTAAGATAGGACTGAAATTATCAAGTTAAGCAATGACATTGACCAACCTTTTAAAATAGACATGAAAACAACTGACGAATCAGAAGGCTTGCTACCCTCCCACACTGGTGGTGAGGGAGTGTGGGACTGTCGCAGGCAGGAGGTGACACAGTGACTATAACTACATGTATCAGCAATTGATTAAGCAGCGATTTGTGTTTTAATGTTACTTCTAGTCAGATCAATTTTTATGTGAAGTAGCCTTCCCAAGGGGTTTGTCAGTGGTTATTGAGGTCAGCTGTAGTCACAGTTAATGGTCAGCTTATCTGTCGCAATCCCTCTCTTTTATCAGAGAACAGCTTAGTGGTGCCACCACACAACTCCTGAATAACAGGTCTGTTTTCTAATAGCGCTCGTCTTTCTGGTTGAGCTAGTTGACGCAGTCACTTTTGTACATATGATATACTTTTGTACATATGATATAATTTCAACAGGACCGCCCTATCTTTAGAAAGGAGGAACTATTGTGATGACAGGGCTGTGGATAATGGCACACAGCTTACAACACAGACTAGTGCAGCGCATGTAGGTTGTTTTTCCCATATGCAAATACCAGGCGGGTTTCGGGAGGCCATTCACTTTCGACATCCTTTAGTCAGCCGACCGATCAGCAAGGCCACTGTGTGCGCGCGAGTGTGTGTGTGTGTTTGCCTAGGGAGTGAATCATCTGACTTATACAACTCTGATGTGTCACCCATCTCATCATGTGCAATAAAAAGGGAAATGAGTGCAAACACTCCATTTCTGAGCTTTGTCCACATTTTTTAAAAGAGAGGAAATAATATTCCAGATTATTTGTTTAATTAACGTTGCCTGTATTATCGCAGTTGTTAATTAATGTTTTAAAATGTATAAGGTGTAACCATTTTATGTTGTCGTTGTTGTCACGGTTAATATGATAGGAATATAACAACTGCATTCGTTTACAATGGAAGCTGTAATAAAAAAAATATATAATTATTTATTTATTTTAATTCTAAAAATAAAAAAAGCTGGATTATCATCACAGAGCATCAAGGGTGAATACAGCACAAAGGAGGAAACGCTCTACAGCCTCCAGGAAGGTTATGCGCTTGATTTTAGAAGGGATTACATCAAAACAGCCAAGGAGGGCAAAGGGCGTGTGATTTGGTGCATTTCCACTGTGTAGAGAGAGAATTTACACTGTGTGGGGAAAAAAAGACTGCTAACCTAACACCCGCATGTGTTCAGTGGTTTGTTCCACTTACCCATGACAATCAGCAGCATCTTCCTGCTGCGGATACCAGGCGCCTTCTTCACCTTACACTGGTAGGTGCCTGAGTCGGATGCCTTCAGCGCCGTCAGGTTGATGGAGGCGTCGCCTTTCTTGGGGTCGGCTAAGTTGAAGTGAACTCGACCCTTCAAGGGGGCATAGTAGTCCTCGTACGCCCTGTCACCTGAGTACAGGATCACCTGGATGTGGAAAGGAATGCAGGAAAAGAGTGTTTTAGTTAAGAAAGCATACCTAATTAATATCATGTGTTTAATATTATGTGACTTAAACGTTTACAAAAATAAAAGTCCTTCCTTGGAAACAAGCAAAACAAAGGCCTTGAAATGACAGTTATGCGCTTTCTGAAAGCAACGGCCTTGTTCACTGAACCAACAAAAATATATGGAAGAGAGAAAGAATCCTCTCTTTTATCTCTGCAATGCCCTTCAGACCAGCCGCCTGTGCTGTTCTGCCCTTTCTGTGTTTAAGAAGAACGAAGGTGGAACTAACAAAGCGACCTCTGTGGAGCCAAATCAACACCTGCTGTGTCAACAAAGAGCAGACCCCCCTCCACACACACACACACACACACACACACACACACAGAGTCTGGGTTTCGAAAGCAGCAAGGAAATGCCTAGAAATAAAGGCCAGGTAGAGCCAACAAGAAACCTCATAGTTTGTAGTGCAGTGATGTGTAGGGGGGGGACAAGGAGGGTAAAAGAAAAGCAAACAAGAATGAAAAGGGTTCTCATTCGCTTTCATAAAAACTGGCATATTATTCCACATTTCCATGGAGACGGTCTTCTACTGGCTTTTCTGTGCCACGTTCAACACCAGGCGTACAACACAGCAATACCCCTGGGTAGAGAGGAGGAGAGAGGAAAAGACTAAACATGGCAGGAGGGGAGGAAGAATAATGAACCCTTCAGAGGAGGCAGAGAACTCAAAGGAAGCAAAACAAAAGGGAAGCAGAGTCAGTGAGGTTCTGGTGAGTCTACACCAAGTTGCCTTTCTGCTCCATTTCCAACTGGAAGACTAGTTCCTGTAGCTGCAAGGCAGGCATGCTTGCAATGGGCGCCATGCTCATCTTGTTCATATTAGCCACGTAAACAGGTAATGCAGTTAAAATTCCTCACGGCTCCCAGGGGAGGGAAACCTATCCTTCACCGGGGATCAGAACATCAGCAGTAATAACAGCAATATGTGAGATGAGACCATGGAGGGGAGGAAATTAAATTGCCCCGAGCTCAGCCAAACAACAACTCTCACTTGGGCTCAGCCACTTCACCGGCACACAGATGGGAGCGCTTACACACATGCACACCTCTGAACTGCACAATAACCTTGAGAATCATGATCCAATGAAAAAAAAAATCCCATAAAGGGCCTGGGGAATAAAAATGAAAAGGGCAAATGACTAGACAAGCTGGCAGGGGCTGGAAAGGACAGAGGAGCACTACAGTCTGTGTGCTGCGTTTCATAACAGGTAGGACACTCAATGATACAATCGCCACCTGGCCACTCTCTGTGGACGGATCACGCTGCAGAGGTAAAAGCCCTCTATTGGCCAGGCTTAGTTTCCTCAGACACAATAAATGAGGTCATTGTCATGTGATGCTGTTGCTCAGGGAGGGAAGTCGAAGAGGTGCAGATCATTTGGGAGCAAAACAGAGAGCCGCAGTACCTGTTTACTCTAAACAACCTGCAGAGCGCTGGGAGTGCAGCACCGTGTCTTTGAGCTCCCACAGACGCTTTTTTAAGTTGGTAGACTCAAAGTGCTGCCGCCACATGCTTTCACGGGTACGGCTCTGCTCCAAACCGCTTTGCAAGGTTAAAGCAGAATCACTGCCTTAAAACGGATTAAATATCCTTCAACATTGAGGCTATAGAGAATATAACAAAATGTGGCCATGAGCATTCACAATCACCACTCATGTAAAAACAAACTACACAATTTTCACCAAACGGTGTCATGGCTTTACGTCCAAATCCTCCAATACTTTGTCAACACGCAGAAATTCCTGTCGCAATAACTTCAGCAAACAAAAGGCTCTGCTGCCGCGCTCAAGGACAAAAGAGACAGTTTGTATGATATCGGGTAAAAGCTATTTATTTTTGTGCGCAGAGTCCTCTCCTATTCACACCATTCAGGTTTCATTTTCCTAATAGTTTTCCTCGTTCTCACAGCTGTGTTAAACGCTCAGGGCACACCCTCCTTTCAGTTAATCTGTAGCCAGGCAATGACAGCCAAATGCAAATGACTGACTGTAGGCATGCCTGGTATGTCTCATTCAAGCCCAACAAAGCAACATGCATTAACTATGCTTCACCACCCTCAAAACGGCCCTGATGATGTGCGGGATATGTCAGATCAAGGAGGCCATCATTCCCCACCAGATACTCGACTGAATAGATAACGCTGTGGCATTACTTCTGATTGCATCATTACAAAGTAAATGCAGCTGAAATATATGGTTCATTAATATGAACAAAATTCTGAGGGTTGCACATGTGAGGCACAGCACACAACCCATCTCCCTGCTTGCAGAGACAGCAGTTTGAGTTCCCAGTTATATGACCCCGGTGGTGTGTGGGCCGATCCTGTTGACAAGCTCTCCACTTTAAAGTTTGATCTGATAGTGGCTGTTCCTTTAAGAGCTGCCTAGATTGGCTCATCTCAGGCCATGTGAGTAAAGGTTCACCATGCCTTCTAAGCATCTGAGAGCCTCTGGCTACGGAGTTTAGCCTTCATTATCATTTCCTTCCCTGACTTGGTAGCTTTGGTCCTTGCAGATCGGCCTAATCCCATTTAACACTGTCACATACATTTAAGCAGCCCCTGGGAATTAATATGCGGCTAATTACAAAGAATATACTCTGAGCGTGCCTTCATATTGGTTAAAGGCTTTATGACTGTGAGTGTGTGTGTGTGTGTGTATAGCGAGCAAAATCTAATAGGTCAAGGAGAACAAATATGTTCAGAGAGAGATGTCTGGGCTGTTTAAATTCCTACAAAGGTTCGGCAACCTTAATGGCTGTGTAGATAGACCTCAGCTAAATAGCACGTAATAAAGAAAATAAACTATGGAACCAGATGCAATTTGGGAACATTTGATATATTTCTACAGCTGCATTCATACATGAAGAGGAAGAGGCCCTACTGGGGAACCACCCACACTGAATTCTGTGATCTTTGCGGCACCATTGAGAAACTGGAAAACTAAGAACATTTAATAAGCACTGAAATGAATATTTCATCATAGGAACCATTGAAATATTATGATAGATAGATCCTCCACCACTTCAGGAAATGATTCAGAGTAAAAACAAAGTAGGTCAAAAACAAATAGGTGGGTGTAACTGGTTTCTCAGCAATGGCAAAACTCCAGAACAGGAGCAGTGAACAAGAGCAGGAATACAGAGGTGTACCTGGGTGAGAGCAGGGCTGGGTGACAGAGGCATCAACCCACTGTCCTGCAGTATCTCTAACATTCAGCCAAAAACACACTAAAGCCACAGGAAAGTGGAGGAGGGATGAGGACGCTTTTGTGACAGGTGGGGGAGCAAAGAGCCACGGGAGAGGAACACACCACTGGACGATCTGCAGCAAGAATCTGCGGAGTTGTGTAGTCCATGGCTGAGGGCCATGCTGGAAAGGGAAGACACTGCCTGGGATAAAGAGAGCTCCCATCGCTCCCACTATGTGTCTGTGAGAGTACTGCAGTGAACAAATGCTCAATAGAAGTCAATGTGGCTCAAATTACATTTGTCTTGTATTATGTATATGTTCCATTCTAACACTGCGAGAAAATACACACCTAGAGAAAAGCACCTGTATTGCATTTCACCGCCTGCACAGCATAAAACCCCAGAACTAACATTACAGAACAGGTTAGTGCGAAACCACACGCACTGTGAACATATGAGGAAGTTTAAACCTCTGAGGAAAAAAAAACACTAATTTCCGTTAATGACATATTGTTGAGGAGTGTTAAGATACATACACAAGATCGGTTTGGAAAAGATCTCATCAACTACCTACCAAAAGGCAAGAACAAAGCTAGACTTGTCTGAACACAGATAAAATTATACTAAATTAAAGTCAATCAGAGGACTGATAACCGACAAATGTACTTTCATATGCTGTCTTTGAAATTAGGGCTGTGCGATATGACGACATATATCTTTTGGCGATAACAAAACACTCACTTCAGTCAGTCAGCTAATGTTTAATGACTTACTCACAGACATTCAGCTTACTTTGTAGTTCACCAAGACATGCTGTTATGTTAACTATAGCAGCAGGAGAGTTGTATCACTCTCTGGAGCCGTCTCGTCCTCTAATGTTTACTTTGTAGCAGCAACTAGCGACAGTTTGCTAACCCACAACCTAGCTAACATTAGTTACATTAGTTGCTGTGTCCTTGTTCACTCTATGTCATGGTATTTTGCATGATCATGGGGTTGGATTTCTCTTCTGCCACCTTTATGATACAGAGCTAAATCATGAGTTCACGACATGTCATTGAAATTACAAAAAAAATGTCTTTATCTGGATACATATCATTATTGGAATATGAAATGACCTATATTGGGATATGAGATTTAATCATATCGCACAGCCCTATTTGAAATCAACCTGTATTTTCAATGTTCATGGGGAACATCTACACATACCACTTTGTCCTCTTTCTGGTTGTCAGAAGACAGCAAGCTCCATTCAATATCCAGTGGTCCAGAATCTTCAGGGGCCAGAGTGAACTGGCAGTCCAGCTTCACACTCTGGCCGCTGGCCGCCTCTATGGATGTCGGCCCTGTAGACGTAATGTCTAGACCACAGGCAAAACCTGAACAGAGACAGACAAAGAGAAGGAATGAATGTCAACACAGCAACATGCATAATTATAAGTAGTATTTATAACAAGAGGGGCACGCAGAGAGTGTAGTTCTCCACAGTATAATTCTGGATATACTTCCAGAAAAAAAATAAAAAATAAAAAATTCACATCTCTGATTGCTTGTTTCTTAATACCTGCTTCATGCTTCCTGTTATGCTGGTTTTGCACTTTATCATACCACTAACTTGTATGAGTGTATATTGTTCTTCTTTTCTGTGTCACAAATTTTTTTAACACCTTCTACAGTAAGACCTTTTTTTTTTTGAGAAAACTAAATTTAATGCTTTTTAAGTCTTTTCAAGACCTGCAGATACCCTGAATTGATTCAGGAGTCATAAAGTGTCCGGTATTGCTTATGTTTAGACAACCTTTCCACTCTTATTCATCAATGCAGCAAAGGACAATATGAGGTGACATTTTGAATGTGAATATTAACATCACTTTAGACTCAGTGACATAATGATGCCCGCTATAACATCTACACGCTGTTAATTAGCCCACACTCTACTTTATAAGTAACATTTCAGCCAGAAAGATCTTAGCAGGCAGTCATTCTCCATCTATTTTTTATAGTTATTTTCACACAATTTGGCTTCCTGTTTTCCTCTCTAGCACTGGCAGCAAATCAGCGTTTGCTTGAACTGTTTGGAAGTGTATTTCTTATACATAATGGTTTGTCCGTCCAAATGAGCTAACCCCCTGCAGTGAGCTTCAGAAAAGAGAAAGACCTGTGCCAGACACGCCACCAGATCACACAGTCACAGCCATAACAGTCAGGGAGATCCTCTGTCAATCAACAATCGCTTGCATCAAGTTTTTGCTATACTTTACTTTAGGCGAATGACAATGTTGATCTTTAAAAATTGTGCAAAATTAAGAAGACCACAGGTTGGTTTTCTTTAGTGACGGAAAATTTAGTTGCTTGCAACTGTATCACTGTGATGTAAAGTTGATGAAAATTGTAGTGCTTGGCTTTTTGGAAACATTTTCAGGCAGCTGTCAAATGTTTTGATTCCAATGTGTCTTTCATAAAATAAATATGGCTACGTGTTGTCTGAGAAGAATCTTTTAAAATATGCATAATGTACATCACATAGTGAAGAGACTAATAGAGCAGAACATAGCTTAGCTGAAGGATTGGTGATGATAATAAAGAGAAACTGTAGCCCATCACCAAACTGGAACAGACTCTCAAGCATTTATTCTTAGTACGAATAAACATAATTTCCTGGTGACATCAACTGGGTTAAGATTCTCCATTCAATAAGAGATTTAAGCCGCAGCAAGGAACACAGTCCATAGAGAATGGAGTTGTCACATGCTGCCTCGACACATTAAAATCCTTCTGACAGCCTGCCACCTTCCAGTCAGCGAGCGGGGGGGAGAACAGCTTTAAAAATAAAAAATAAATAAAAAAGATCACCACAATATGTTGCTGCTAAAAAGCGTTGTTAAATGTGTAAAAAGGACATTTATCATGTCGCACAAATGACACCAAACACATGTAAGTGAAATTTTCTGCTGATTATAAGAGAGAATTTTCACCCCATAAAAACCATAGCCTTTTCCTTAGCTGCATCTGCATCTCATTTAGCTGGCTTTACACTAACAGACAGGTAATTGTTGAAACAGGAGCCAAACCTGGCAACTGGGAACACTTTATGAACCTCTTTTCTCTTCCTGGAAATGTTTCGTACAAGATTTCCATAAATGACAAACAAACAAGAAGATGTGCATCTATACAAACACAAAGGGATCTAAACTAGTGATAAATGCATTATATGGTATACTTAAGTGCAGATGGTTTGTAGAATGTCTATAAGCACCATTTAAACGCTGTTTTCCAACTTTGTTTATTAATTTCACAAATTGGCAGGTAGCAGACATGAACAAGGGCACTCAGCAGAAAAGCACCCAATGCTGTCAGTTGTACTGCTTCTCATTCAAAATCTACAAACAGTATGAGCATGGTCAAGGTGAAAGTATGCAACTTCAAAATGGTGGAAATGAAAATATTCCTTTTGTGGTGATTTTGTTATTGACACGAACAGTCAGCGGACTGTGTGAGGGAAGATTCAGGGTCCTGGCCCTCAGGGTAAGGAGGGTGTGAACTACAGGTGGAGGTCCCTGCCGCATCTCATGTCCATCAGCTCTGTTTCAGCCTCAAACTTCACTCCCCTCTGGGTTGTGGTAGACAAATGAATGAAAATACACCACCGAGGCTTACACACATATAGAGGGTGACAGTCTCAGTCACACCCACTATTGTTGAAGCTCAGAGCCCGTAAGCATTTGATATGGTTTGCAAAGCACAAGCATAGTTTTATGTCCCTGTGCTGCAGCTGGTCGTTTCAGCTCACAGATTTTGACAGACGCCCTTGATGGGAGCGATCCATCGCCTTCAGCAGAAGCAAGAGAAATGGGATACAGCAATATAGAGAGAACTGAGATGTGTGTCTATCATTGTCAAAACGGATACACAGCTTGGCATCTGCATGACGGAAAGATGTGTCAATTCATCAGGCACTTAAAGAAGCCGGGGCATTTTTCAGAGTTGCTTGGAAAGGGGAGGACATTGCATTCTGTGAGAAAAAGAAAGTATTCAGCTGGAACAGTTTATCAGTGAGACTGGTTTCTCTGACAGGTAATTAAGGGACACTGTCTGATGTACCTGTTCAATCAATGACGGCCCTCTGAAGCCGTAGGCAGCATTTGTTTAAATTACAGTTCAGCCAGAGGCCTCTTCCATTCAGCACCGCACAAATGGGAAAAAGTGCTATTTCATCCCTTCCACTGGCAAACAAATTTGTGTACTGCCTGTCTGGTGGCGCAGGTGACAGCAGTGCCAAGGCAGAGGAACACTAACACCATGTGTGTAATCTAAGATTAATTCCACATTCAAATCAACAGACAGGAATCTACATATAAACCTGTTTAATCTGGCTACTGCAAGTATAAAGTCTCGAAGAGGAACTGTGGTATATGCAAATGAGATCATTTGGTTAGTTTCTTAAATGTCACAGCAAATCTGTAATTATAGCAAGGCAGGCAGACAATGTTAAAAGCCCTGGAGATAAAAACCCATTTTCTTATCATGGCATCATCAGGTATGCGGGATGGGGTCCCACACAAACAACATTTCTGCTAAAATGAGAACAGTTTTGGTTTTTCAAGTGGGTAGGGCTCAGTTAGAAAAAAGTGACATCACGTATTTCCGAATCAAAATGTGACGACAAATGTGTGTTTGTAGCATTGTCAGTGAAATCTCACTACATCACACCCACACAGTCCTGATGAGGCAGATTAGTTTCTGTTAAACTCTACAAATAAACAAAAACTATGCATGTTTCCCCCCACAAAACTTTCACTTTGATGGTTGCTTATTTAGTCATGAATATTTAAATAATCATCATCTTTAGCAAAAAAAAAAGCTATTAGTGGGAGAAAAAAAAGTGCCACATTTTTATACTTTGTGTACAAGCACCCAGATGGCCATCCTTTCCATGAAATGCAAATCACTATAATGGAGATCCAAGCTCAGTAAAAAAAAATCCTTTCAATCATTTTAGTTAAAAATCAATTGAATGTGGCCTGTAAACAGGGCAGGTGGAAGAGAAATGAGTCCTGATAAAGATTATGTGAGGTAAGCCCAATCAGCTCAATGGCTGCTATCTAATGTAACATTAGGAATAAATACCAATGAAATAAAGACTTGAACGTGTAAACTGACGTTGATTGATTCACACTAAGCTCTCAAGCATTTTTAATTTAAAGCCCCTTAAACATGGGCTCATCTAAGTGTCGAACCATCATAGTTAAACACACCTTTATTAATTATTAAGCGCTTAAAGCATCACAATGCAGCTAATCTGCTTCATCAGGACTGTGTGTGGGTCATTTAATCAGATCTGATTGACCGGGGTATGATAACAAACCACACCTGTCCTCAGATTTAATTCAAATGTCGCTAACCTGATCGGCCAATGGAAATACATGACATCACCTTTTTCCTGTAGAGTCCTGCTCACTTTACCCCAGTGAGAAGCAGCAAACAAAAAGGAAATCTCTCACATAAAATAACCCAAACTGTTTGAATGTTGGCAGAAACTTCTGCGCTCATGCAGGACCCCATTACTCCTATTAAAAAGATGATTGAGACAACAGGTTTTCGGGGCCTTTGTAGACCACAGATTGTCACGACTAATTGAAAAATATCAACTCTGGACAACACTAACCAGGATTAAGATGATCGATGGAAGATTTCAATATAACTAGCTGGAAAAATCATCCCCTAACCCAAGCTGGTGATAGTGGAATAACACAAATAGCCCTGTTAACGTGCTCAAAGCAGCAGCTCACAGTGTTAATCAGTAACTATCAGCTATAAACACATCCTGTACATACAGTGTGTGAACCCTGGAGCATGTGAGCAGAAATCTTACTGAACTCAAAGTCTGCCACGGAGAGAGAGTGTTCCATTTAATCACTGGTTGACATAGGGTGACAATCAGTCCAGAAAGAATAATGGCAACAGTGCTAAAGTAAGCTGGCTTTCTTCCTCAAATTTAATGTAATCAGCTGATAAGAAAGACCATCATTACAGTCCGAGGAAAACCATGAAAAACAGACTTGGTAAAAGCAGTCATGCATGTACACCAGACACACACACAATTTCCTTGAGCTTAGTGTGTGCTGTTATAGTAAGAGTATGTAATACTGTGTGTGTGTGTGTGTGTGTGTGTGTGTGTGTGTGTGTGTGTGTGTGGTGGGGGAGGGCCCGTTGGCTAATTAAAAAGTCTGTCTTAACTATTAATGGCTGCCTGTCTCTCTGAGCGCCTCTTTCTCTCCATTCTCAACCACACTGTCTGACACAGCATATCCCAGAATGGTTACTGGGAAACCTGGAATGAACAAGAGGAATTTAGGGTGTCAGCGCGCTCCACCCAATA